CAAAGTATCTAAAAAATAGGAAAGAAAATATTCAGAAGTTTACGAGAAAATTCGTGTTTTATCAAAGGAAATTTGGCAACGCCTGGAGGTTCATACGGCGTTTTTCCTTAGCACGGCAGAAATCTCCGGGCCTCAGGAGGATATCCTGATCAAAATCGCTGAGTTTCAGGCCGCCAGAGGCGTCATTCCGGTGGCATGTGCGCGTGCGGTAACTGATTAAACGACGACTTTCCTCAAAATTCGAGGATGAAACGCATTCAACGAGCAGCAATCAACCTGCGAGTGTCGGGGTCGACGTCCGATGAAATCACTGGCACGAATGCTGCAGGCCATCATAAAAATTGGCCGGACGAGGGCAGCGCGGGGAACGACGCTCTATCAACACTTTTCAGCGAGGGCAGAGGCTAGGAGGCCAGAAGCACCAGACCAGCGTGTGAGAATCGGGAGAGCTGCCCAAAGCAGTGAATTATGCGCCCGGTGCGAAACTTTCGTGAAAATTATGTCCGCGTTCACGAACTAGCCCTCCGTTAATGGAGCGGGTGCATAAACATTGGCACGTTTGCATGAATGTCTGAATAGCCGCGCCGAGTTGAGCTTCTCCCCTTCGTTTTCTGCAACTGTTTGAATCATCTGAATAGTTGCTGCATTTGCTGCCTTTGCGCGCGACAGAAAGGATTGCGTCGCCTTTTTGATTCTCATTAAATAGGAGTAGGCGACGAATGCTAGTCCCTTTGCTATGCTTTATCTATTTTTACTGTTGCTTCGAGAAATGACCAGAAAAGTTGTCGTTGAGCGAATGACAGTGACGTTTTCTGCATATTATATATTATATGCTAGAGAGCTAAAATTGAAATAGTGCTGTTGGGCCTCGACATTATGTCCTACGACGCAAGCAGGGGTGCAAAAAATCTCGACCACGCGACCGGGCGCACAGTGGATCGAGTCAACGTCAACATGAAGTTTCAGACAGCAAATTGCACATTTTGATGTTCATTACGTTACCAACATTTTAAATTGTAAGGGGCTTCGTAAAGAAAATTGCCCAAGGATACGATGGCACCACTTTTAGAACCTTAATTTTTCTTGTAAAAACGGAGTTAGGTACAAGCTTTAAAGTTTCCGCATTTCGTCCGATATTTTCGATTGACTCGGTCCACTGTGGGGCGGGTTGCAGGCGATAGCGCGTGAAAACGGGCAGGACCTAAAAACGGTGTTTTAAATTGGGAAAGTCGGTGAAAACGTGTATTTCAGCAAAAGTGCATCGCTGTTTTTAATCGTAAAATCGTGGTAATTTATAGTTTTATATAGAGTGTTTTTACATAGAGCTCTAAAAAGTCATTTTTTTAAATTTCCGAGGATATGGTTGTTTCTTTTTTTTTTTTTTTTTTTTTTTTTTTTTTTTATAAGAGCTAAACAAAGCATGGACGTTTGCTGTCAGAATGGTAACAGAAGAGATACGACCACTGTTAGACATATGACCTCATCATGGGGTGATGGAGGACGGGAGCGGAGGAATGCACTGATTAGAGTCCGGTCCGGCTGGGGCTGATCCTGCCCCAGTCAGTCGTTGTTTTGCAATGTCCGAGTATGTCTTTCGTATAATAAATCACATTCAGCTCAAGATTTGAGTGCTCTTTTTTTGGCCCCGACAACCACCCAAACTTTGTGCTACATTCGCGGTCAGTTGGAACTCGTCGCTGGCGCGAATCACCTCGCTCTGCTTTGATTCCACTTTTAGGTTCTCCTCTATCCGGGAGGAGGAAAACGGCTGGATATTTAAACAAACAACGCGACGTTATTTTGACCTCAAGCAAGATAAGGGTCCCCTTCCCATGAGTGACCGCAATGACAAATGATAGGCGAACCGACATTGAATTCGAGTTACACAACCACGGGATGAGTTCGGCGAAAACACCGATTAAGTGGCGAAAAAAAAATTGATCGAGTGCGACAAGAGACTTCGGAGTAACATTCGAATTCCGTGAAACGGGCCGCCAAAGGAAACATTACTCATCCGAATGGCGGATGCCGATGGATGATCAGTGCGGAATCCTAGCAAAATATAGTTGCGCAGGTTGTTACTTGGTATCGATAACCGATCACGATGCTGCCGCCGTACTAAGGAAGAACGCCGTATGAGCCTTCAGGCGTTGCCAAATTTCCTTCGATAAAACACGAATTTCCGGGTAAACTTGTGAATATTTTTCTTCCAATTTTTCAGAGAGTATTGTTTGTAATTTGATCTAAAGTTCCTGAAAATTTCACGGAAAAAAGTTCATAATTTTCCTCATAAATAAACATTTTATAGGAGGAAATTTGGCAACTCTTGAATGTTCATACGGCGTTCTTCCTTAAAGTCAGAACACCGTGTAAGCATTTGAGGGTTGTCAAATTGTTTTCGATAAAATGTTCATTTTGTATGAAAGTTAAAAAAATTTTGGTTGGAAAGTTTCAGGAGCTTTAGGTGCCACTGCGAACATAATTATCTGAAAAATTGGAAGAAAAATATTCATGAATTTACCAGGAAATTCCTGTTTTATTAAAGAAAATTTGGCAACGCCTGAAGGTTCATACGGTTTTTTTTTTTTTTTTTTTCATACGTACGACAGTATGGAGTATGAAGGAGATTAATTTATCGCTCGCTCGATCACGCACGCACTCTACAAAGTGCCGGGATTGCGCCAAGAATCAAAATCAAAACGGTCTTGCGTGTCGGTGCCGAGTTTTCGATACTTATCGGCTTAAAGGTCACCATATTGATTTCCCTTCAGAAAGTATAATTGTGTGAGAAAAATTGAAAATTTCTGCTAACATCGCGGACAAATTTATACACATAGCCGTGTGGATTTGTCCTGGACTCAGAAGTCACAGGGGTGTCTCGTCTAAGAGAAATCTGCTCTACTGAATTAAGGATTCCATTAGTCAAAAATGCAGCAGGTCAAAAAGCGCGCCACGTAATTTTATGAACAGCCCCTAAAATGATGATTATTGAGGAATATCAACTCAGTTTTAGAAAAAGAAAATGCCACAGAAAATACTAGAGTCAGAGGGGAAAGAGTAATTAAATTTCTACCACAAAGAATTGACAGGGTTGTAAAGGGATCGATCGATTGAACTCGTCGAGAGTAAAAAAAAGGGTGGAATTGAAAGAAGGCCAGGGAGGGACTCTCTTTAATTAGTGTTGCAATACATCAATTATTGAAGCAGCGGGTTTTCCTGCTCTCGGAGGGATCTTTTTCTTTCTGGTTTTGGTTCCAATCATTGATTAGATCGCGTAAGACTGCCACGTGATATCCTCTCAATTTAATTTCAGATGTGAACCAATACTGGGACATGCACTGTTCCACACGGCATGGCATGGAAAAAATCTCCAGCACTTTTCTGTGTCCAGACTCCCGCTTGATACATGAAGTCGAGTTTAAGCAATAATTGGATGACATTAAACAGTAGTTTTCCTCTTGAAACGACACTTTTCTCATTATGGGTATTACAAAAAATTTCGTCTACATTCATTAAATATAATGAGATATACGTTACATTTTCTGAAAAGACAAAAAAAGGCGGAAAACCCGATGAAAATGCAATTAAAGGTGTGCAACTATCTCACGCTAACAAATTTTCTCCATTTTCAAAATTTCCTATCATTCTTGGGTTTTGGAGTTAAAAATACAATATACTCCGATATTTCCCGAATTTCTTGAGAAACTAGAGCATAATTTGTAGCATTACCGTGTATTGCTTTCATAGGTGCATTCGTTTGGGAAAAATGTTTTGCCTTGCCAGCTTCCGTTTCGACAGTTCTGTATAGTTTTATGCAAGACATTTTGAATTTTTCCACTCGTTCCGACGACATTTGTGGTGGTGCGATTCCTAAATCGAAATTTTTTGTTGATGTCTCGCAAGTGGAAAAATAGCTCCTTAAAAAATGAAACTTCTCACTTCCTTTAAATTCCTAGAAAATCTTAAGTGCACGGCCGAAAGCCACTTCAAGAAATGTGTGACCCGAATTTATTGTCAGTGACTTTTCCTGAAGTGGGCACTTTGCGTAATGGGATTACCTTTCGGAGCTTTCTACCCATTTCAGGGCTGTGCTGATTGACCCTGTTGACTACTTGCAGGAAGGCCTGAATTTCTCATCTGAATACTTTTAAACGACATTCAGGACATGTTATTGTACAAGTACATGTACATGTTCACAACAAAAGCAACATTAATTCCCATAACGACCATGGCAAATCAAAAATTAACGTTCAGTAGCAGACACGGACCTGCGACCTTGCTTTTAAATTATGAGCCATTTTTTCTAGCAAAATTTTGAAACAACATATGTGTCAACAGTTTTCCTATGCAGCTTTGGGTGCTGGCATGGCTAAGTCGAATAATTTGTTCCCTTAGACCGTCGTCGTCTCCCGGTCGTAGGAACGTAATTCCACTCCAATTTTTCAAAATAGACTAAAACGTTCAATTTTAAGCAAGAATGATCTCTTCCAATTTCGCTCAAAAATTTTCTGATCGTTGTTCGAGATTAGAAGAGAAATCGATAAAATTCTCAGTTGGAAAAGCCCAAGATTTTCCTAGTAAAAATTCAATTTGCGAGCGGAAATTTGGCACCACTAAAGTGTAGTTACGATCTTGCGTACTTAGGGGAGGCGACGAAATGTCGTCAGAAATTTTCTGTGAACGGTTCCTTATTGAAATATATCGATGGAGATACTACAAAGCCGCGTAAGACAGTTTCCAATGTCACAGACGGCTTATCATGATTTACATTTTAGATCAAAAATTGCATAACGTCATTTCTCGAAAATCTTTCTGCTTTTCCTACTCTACTTGAGGAAATGCAGTAAAAATTTCGAGCAATAGTGTTCCTTAAAGAGGGAACAGAGATTATCAGACAACGCAAACAAGATGCGTGCTTTAGCAGTTCCATCGTTTATACAGTCCATTCCCGCGTCAACGAAGGGTAGACTGTGAGGCTAAAGGGTGAAACATGATCTTACCTGGTGATCCAGAGATCCAAACACCTCCTCGATGAATCTTGACAAGCTTCGTTAATCCAACCTCCTTCAAATCCGTGTGAAGCAGCACAAGCGAGTAGTGCTTGAAGAGGGTCCAGCCGCCGATGACGGCCAGATTGGGGAACAACTTTCCGATGGACGTGAGGTTGTACACTCGGTACATCACCAAATAATTCGTGATCTCCACCAACTCCGGGAACTGGTAATTCTCATAGACGGCCGCCGACACGTTCTCGAAGTGCAGGAGGCGCACGAACCCGTCGACGACGCTGCAATTGCGTAGCAGATCCATGTCGCTCACATTCCAGATGTCCAAGCTTTGGACGCAGCGTTTCCCGGGCGGCGGCGGCCCAGCGGGCGCCGCCGCCAACGCCTCCCCGCAGGGCACTTCGGACCCGTTGGCGCCGACACACGTCTCTTGGAGACAGCGACACTTCCCGCACAGACACAACATCGCCATCACGAGGAGGAAAGGGCATCGCATTTTCGCGCTGGTCATGACAATCCGAACGCCATCACCACAACCTCGCACCCGACACTCAACCCTTTCACAAAAATCACAATTTAAAAACAAATAAAAAGCACCTACGAAAGTAGGTCTCAAACCGCGTCGAAGCCTGAGAGGCTTGAAAGCATGATCAACACTAACTGCGCCGCAGTGTTAGAAGCGATAAATTATCACCCTTACATTGTTGAGGGAAACGCATCACACGACACAACCGCCGGCAGCGAATTGGGGAACAAGTGCGCTTGGAGAGATCACTGCTGCGCCAACACAAACAAGCAGATGCACCTGTGTTTTCGCGGCCTCGTCGCGTCAATCAAACGCCAGGATAACTCGCGGAAATAGGGCGAATTTTTTCCGCTTCCGCCGCCGCCACGAACACAAACGCAAGCTACTGCAAGCCGCACAACTGACGTTGACGTCAAGGCGTGGAAGGGTACACATAACACATCAAAACAAGCCCGAACCCCTAGGCATCGCAGCCATCACAGCGCACGCAGCCCGAAACGCGAAGAGCACACACCGCCGAGAGATGGAAAACGAAAATCGAAACACAACAAGCGGGGTTAGAACTTTCGGGAGCACAAATTGAACGCGAAGGTCTCACAGCACGTGGTGAGACGGGAGGAATACGCGAGGGTCGTGAACCGAGCGGACAACGGCGTGAAGCGAACTGAATTTCAAACAGAAGGGAAACATTGGCTAACTTGCAGACAGCGGCGCGGCGAGAAGGGGGGAAGGGGTGAGCGTGAGGAGGGGGGACTGAGTAATCCCCTCTCCCGACGCGGCGTTTCCCCTATCGGCGTGGATTCGGGAGTTGCTTTGTCTAGCTTTGTCTGCGCGCTCGGCCTCTAAGTCCGGGTTCAACTCAGCCGCTGCGTTGTTTTCGTGCAAGTTTTCTGCGCGCAGCTTTGCGCGTCGTATACTACTGCCCATTCATAACTCCGCGACGCCCTCCCCCCTCCGGCGCCGCGCGCGCTGTTGCGCTTTGCGGCGTTTTACGTTTTTTATTTTTATTTTGTTTAATCAATGTTTTGGGTATGCCTTCCGAGCCTCCTCCCGTCTTCGCTGCGCTCGGTTTTTTTTCCTGCGGGCTTTGAGGAGCTGCGCGGGAGGCGTAGTCTTGGCGGGCGAAATTGCGCCATTGCGAGCATGAGAACGCTTCGCGGAATTAATTCGACGGGTCGGTTTAAATGGATCGAATTCGATGGAGAGGAATCGGCCCACTTTAGATGTTGCCAAATTTCCACTATTTATTTTGTTTTATTTAATTTTTTTTTCGTTGAAAAGGTTGAATTTTAAAAATTACACGGAGCCTTTTTCCTCTCGAGTATTGCCTCATTTTTTTTTACCCCTATCAATTTTTTTAGTAAGTTCTGGGGAAAATAAATGTGAACCAAAACAGATGGGTATAAAAAATGATTTTTGATTTTGAAAATATTTTAATGAGTACGATATAAAGAATATATAATTTTAAGGGGAAAAAATACAGTACAGGTAGTTACACTGAAGGAGAAGGGAATTCCGAAAAATATTCATTGTTTAATTTTGTGTTTTTTCCAGTAGTACCATTTTCAGGTCTAATTAGATGTATTGTGTCTTAACTCTTTCTATGTTATTATAATTATATCTTCTCTTCTTTAGTTTGTATTTTTGTATTTTTACGGTGGCGTGCTTTGCGATATATCAATTGTTATGCAATTTTAACCTATGGAAAAGGATCGATAAACAGGGTGTCCGCAGCGAACACCTTAATAATCGATTCTTCACCATAGGTTTAAAAGGCATAACAATCGATATATCGCAATTCACGCCACGCCACAGGTATTTTATTTCTTCATTTTTTTCTGCTAACATCACGTTAAGTGAGTCTGAAAAGGATCGAAGAATTTTGCGCTCAGTGCTACTTGCAATCTTTTCAGACGATATGGATGAATATTTATAATAGGAGTTAAACTGTAAAAAATAATTATTTTAAGCCTTTTCCACTCCGCGCATATTTTTATTGAACCGTAACAAGGTAGTTATGTGATCCTGATCACCTATTACAATAAGACGCACCTAACTGTTGCCGAGTCCACGGCAGATCAATTCGCCTTCAGCTTTCAGAACTGCAACAATCGCTACATTGCGCTATTCTGTACGCATCGGCGCGGCGGGCAGACATCGCATACATACAACTTCAGGAAGCTTAAAAACCTGGTAATATTTCGATCTTTGCCTCAATATGATTATTCTATCACTTCTATCTAATTAAGTAAAATATATGAGCAAGGAAAAATTGCATATAACTGAACAAACAGTAGTCAGATAGTCTTTATGAAATTTGAGGATGAGAAACATTCCCAACGTCACAAAACAAATCGAAACACGTGTCTTGCAGTTTTCGTCACAAATATAAGAATTTGCATCTTAAGCTAATTCTCATGGCAGAGTTTTAAAATAGGCGTAAACAACGAAACAAAGCAAACCAAAAGAGCAGAAACAAATGAACGAAAAAGGCCAAAGACCCCCGAGAACAAACCAAAATTGCATAACTATACGTATAAAATTTCCGAGCTTGAGGAGAGCCCCCCTTGCCTCCCAATTAACGATTCTCCTCCGTACATCTCTCACCCCCACTTTAATCAACCATCAAATAAAAGTTTACGACCTCTCTCATCCGCTCTGTACATGTCGTTTGCCTGGATTGGGCGCCTCTCATGTTCTGTTCTGTTTTGACGTCTTTTCTTCTCCTTCAATTGCTCTCCCTCTTTCTCCTTTTGGGCGAATTTTATTGCGTTGCTGTTCCGCTGGAGCCTCCAATACCTCTACGGCCCGCGCAAGACGTAATGACGTATCCTAGTCTTCGTTGTTTTGATCGCGGGAACGTTGCAGCGACGTGGACGGCGCCAAGGTCGGCCCCGCGCGGCAACGTCTCAACGGCGGTCAACGAATCGACGCCTGAACTTGGAATTTGGCACTATCCTCGGGCCCCCTCCGATCCAGATTCGGGGATCCAAGGGGCGGCAGGGGGAGGGGGCAGACGACGGCCCCGTCGCACTGTCGGGCTCTTCTCAGTCGGGCGTGGAAAATTACAAGCTCGGCTTGCCAAAATAACCATTTTTACGATCGTGCGTTGCGGTTACCGAAATTGAGGGGCTCGGAGGACGAGGCGCATAAGTGCAGTTCTTGAAAAAAAATTGAGGTAACTGGCAAAAAAAATAGCTTGGATCAAGAGTCCAGACTCTTAAAAACATTGACAAGAAAAAATACTCTTGACTCAATCGGATTTTTCCTTAAATCGAAGAGCCAAGCCTCTTGATTTAAGCGGGTTTCCATTCGAATCGAGTTTATTTTTTCTTGTCAATGTTTTTAAGAGTCTGGAATCTAGATCCAAGCTACGTTTTTTACCAGTGTATTCATGAACTCAACTAAAACTAGTCAGAGAGCATCACTGAAAAATAATACGGTAAATTTTACCATACTCTGACACAGTGCGATACGAGTGTGGTAATGAACACCAGAATCTATGGTAATATTTACCATATTATGGTGTCTGCAGAGTTCTGGTGAATACTACCGTGGTTCTGGTTATTTTCACTACATGGTATCACCGTGTAAAAAAATCAAGTAAACGTATAGTAGATGTCACCATACTTTTTTTAGTGCACTCTGTGAAAAATTCACGACTAAAATTCAACTTTGAAGCATCAAAAAGTGAGTTTAAACTTCCTTTCTGCCAAGAAGCTCCATGTCATTTTGAAACTTTAGACACGTATTTCTAGAAATAGCAAAAACTGCACTCATGCGCCTTGTCCTCCATCCCCCCAAGTGGGAGGTCGTATAGCGTCGAAAGGCTACCCACCCAGATGTCCGTTTTCGTAAGCTAATTGTAAATTGGACTACAAATTGCAACTAGGAACTACAAATTCCGGCTAGTTTTAAAAACAACGTATGGACAATTAATGTCCTCTATAGACATATGTGTTTTTACAAACGAGTCTGAGACGTAGTTACTGATTTCACCAATTCCTATTGCGATTTTAGTCAATGTACAGTTGTTTCTGCATGAAAGAGATATGAAGAAAACAGGGGAATCGATAAAGACAGTTTCTTGGCTTACCTTGAATTTTCTCAACTCTGCCGTTTTTTGCTCATTAGGGATCTGGATTTTACGAAATGCATCATTGCATCATGATTTGGTCGTTTCCGGTTCTCTTTTCGGGTCCAATCATGTTCTAAAAATGGGTCTGACGGCCGATTGGGGCGAAAAACGCGGGTTTTGTGGGTTTGCGGTCAAATGATAAAATCATAACCAAACACGGTAAAATTGCTGGTGACCAGGGGGAGGGGGGGGGACAGGAAATCCCCATAGATGTAGATAACCATTCAATGAGCAGTCAATTTCACCCTTTTTTTCTATTTAATTTTTAGTATTTATCTAATACATATGTATTTATGTACAATAAAATAGAGACAATTTCAAAAGAAAAGCCAACCCTGTCGCACAATAAAATTGCCCGAGAACTAATTCCAAATATCGGGGCATCCGAGCTTTGAGCAATACCTCACGCTTTGACGCTTTGCGCCGCAAACGAACTTCAAAACGAAGTTGTGACGCTGATTAAACACCTACTCCCCTATTTGCATTCCCAATCACCCAATTTTCCTTACGAAGATGATTTCCTTTTTATTTATTGAATCCAATTTAAACTTTTCAAAAGCGCACGACTTCTCGAAAGACGATTTTTCCCTCGCGCTGATTCGCGAACGATCCCGTGGTGCGGCGGAAGGATTCTTTCCATAAATCCCCTCCTCCCCTTGCACCGGTCCCCACCCTTCGCCCCCCCCCCGGGGGGGGGGGGGGGCTCGGGTCATGGCTCGAGTGTAGTCCGCGAGTAGTGCGTTGCCCTGCCAAATTCGTGACCGACCGGCATCTTCGTTTCCTCGTGCTCTTTTCCCTGTGCGTCGCAAGGGCAAAATAACGCTGCAGTTCATTCATCTCTTTTCTTTTACCCCTCTCAATCTCGGGCTGGAAATACACCGGGCCACAACAGAGTGGCAGACCTTATTTGGTCGGCGCTAAGCCTCCATTTACGACTGTCCCTGCGAGCTGATTGTTGAAATTGATAGACAAAGCAATAGACACAGCGGACTGATTTTTGAAATTGATAGACAAAGATACAGACAAAGATGACATAGGGGGTATGGAGCGATCCTATTGGATGAAATGTGTGGCTCTTATGGACTAAAGGAGAAAATGATGGACTAGCTGTCGGGTTTCTCGTGAGTTGCCGTTAGTTAGTCTATTACCTACTGCCTTTTTCCATTGCAACCACCCGCTTCCACCAACAGGTTCCCTTCATATCCTCTTGTCATCTTTGTCTATAGCTTTGTCTATTAATTTCAATAATCGGCCCGCAGAAGACATAAGAAGTATGGACCGATCTTATTGGTTGAAATGGGTGGTTCATATGGACAAAAGGGGTAAATGATGAACTAACTATCGGGTCTCTCGTGGGTTGCCGTTAGTTAGTCTATTACCTACGGTCTTCGTTCATTGCAAGCACCCGCTCCCACCAATAGGATCCCTCCATATTCTTTTTGTCTACTTTGTCTGTAGCTTTGTCTATCAACTTAAACAATCAGCCCGCTGGTTTTGAAGGGGCTTATGCGTAATGCTCTAGGGGAGAGGAGGGGTCGAAGAGAGCGTTACGCCATTTTGTTTTTACGCGTTAACGGATTAGAGAGGAGAGGATTTACATCGCGATTGTCAAGCCTATAATGACCTTTGGTATGAAGTGTGGCAGTTGAAGAAGGAGACCCACGCTTCGTCACAAAAGCATTACGAGGGGCGGG